CAGTTACCATTCGGACCCTTTATTCTAACAGCGGCCACTGTATACCCGCCTTAATATTACATATACGAGAAATAAGAGAAAGCGAGAAAAACGGAAAAGAGACACGGAGCAACTCCAACTTGTCTAGCAGATTGGAGAATGCGGGCCATTCTTCAGGAGACTGAACCATCGAGACTAAGTCAGAACAATCTGTTTCAAAAGCCTGACAATCAATTCTTCTTGAAAGGATATTCTTCATAGCCCAAATTAAAGCTTCCAACTCCGAGTGAAGGGGGGAGAGACATCTCCGAAGGCATTTTGCACCAAGCAGCAAAGTTTGATCAGTTCCTTGAAAACACCACCATCCTATACCCATAGTTGGGTCCGAAGATTTCCAAGAGCCATCAATCCGACATTTTATAGATTGGATTGGGCTTTCCATAATTTCCGTCATAGTGTTATCTTCCATTGGATCCAATTGAGCTTCTTCCCACATTAATTTTTCACTCAAAGCGTGATTTAAAATATCTGTGGGTTCAGATTGTATTCCTTTGAAAACCTTCTTATTTCTATCTTTCCATATAAACCACAAAATCCAAGCATAACAGTAAGATTTCTCCGCCCCATCTACAGGATGTGGTATCCTCCAATAAAGATAGTCTAGATTAGAGAATTCCGACCTTAGAGGAAAACTACCTGATACCATAGGTATTTCGGATAATTCCCAGACTTTTTGAGAATGTGGGCACTCAAATAAAGCATGATTAATTGTTTCCTCAGCCATCTCACATCTTTTACAGGTAATATCACACCGAATCCCTCGATGAGCTAATTTTGAAGTTACTGCTAAGGATCCCGAAGCGATTTGCCATAAAAAGTGTTTTATTTTTGGAGGGGCTTTGGCTTTCCAAGCTTGTGCTTGTAAAATTTTACAATTTGGACCCCATTCAATCGATTCAGTCATCCCTCGGGCAAGCCGATAGCCTGACTTTACTGTATATCTCCCTGAGTTTGTATGATGCCAAATAAGCCTATCTGGCTTCTGAACTTGACTAATAGTAAGTCCTCGAATTAATTGAATATCCACCGGATCCATAAATTCATGTAGAATAGGAAGGTGCCATTCTTTAGTAACCGGATTAATTAAATGGTTTACCATTAGATTTGGATGTAACAATTTTCCTCTTCCATTTACGGGACGTGGAATAACATCCGGAAGCCAAGGATCTCTCCAGACCGATAAGTTGTAACCTGAACCTAGGGACCATCTTGCTCCCACTTCAACCAAGCTTTTGGTCGAAAATATACTCTTCCATCCAAACGATGGAGAGTTTGGTTTTTTTGCTTGTAAAGGATGAATATTCCTGAAATATCTACCTTTTAGTACTCGAGCTACTAAGGAGTTTGGAAAATGTATTAATCGCCAGTACTGTTTTGCCAACATGGCATCATTAAACGTGTCTAGAGAGTGAAAGCTCAAACCACCTTTATCTTTATCCATACACAATTTTTCCCAAGCAATCCAATGGATCCCACGGTCTCTCCCATTGGAACTCCACCAATAATTTGAGATTGCACTTGTTAACTTAGATATTAACTCTTGAGGAAGTTTAAAACAAGACATCACATAGGTTGGCAGAGCCAACGCAACTGACTTAATCATCGTCTCTTTCCCACCTTTTGACAGATATTTAGCAGACCAGCCATTAATCCGTTCATTAAATCTTTCCCGGACGTAGTTGAAAATTTTACTTTTTGAGCCGCCAAGGCTCTCAGGTATACCCAAATAGGTACCCATTCCACCTTCCTTTGTAATTCCAAGGAAATTTTTCAATTCCTCTTTTTTTTTGGTTTGGTACACGATGACCAAACACGATCGAAGATTTATTAAAATTTATCTCTTGCCCCGAAGCTTTACCATAATTTCCAATAATATCCATCACTGTTTTACATTGCTCCATATCTGCTTTACAGAAAAATAGACTATCATCCGCAAAAAGCAAATGTGAAATAGGAGGACTCCTTTTTGCTATTTTAATTCCGGTCAACCTCTTCTCTCTTTCCGCTTTTTTTAATATTAGCAATCAGGACCTCTGTACATAAAATAAACAAATAAGGGGATAGGGGATCGCCTTGTCGTAAACCTCTGTTGGGAATTATATGTCCTCTAGGTTCCCCATTTAATAAAACCTGATACGAAACTGAACTAACACTCCACATAATCCAAGAGATCCAATTTGAATTGAATCCTAAACGAGACATAACCGCTTCTAGAAACTCCCATTCGATCCTGTCATACGCTTTGCTCATATCTGTTTTAATTGCCAAGAAATCCGTTTTACACATTCTATTTGTCCGTAATCCATGAAACATTTCCTGAGCAAGCAAAATATTATCTGTAATAAGTCTACCTGAAACGAAAGCCGATTATGTTTCAGAAACTAGCCGTGGTAAAATCTTTTTAAGCCGCAAACATAGAATTTTCGAAATTTTCGAAATTGTCCGTAATCCGTTTTTTTTTTTTTTTTTTAAACGCAAATCTGTCAGAAAAAATGTGATTGGTGAGTACACTGCGGTTTTGTGGGAAAAATTAGAAAAACGCCTTTTTTGTGTTCCCCATTCAGAATGTTATTCTCATTTTAATTTTAAGAGATTCACGACAAGTAAATCACTAATTTTTTGTCGTATATAGAACACACCAAAAAAAAAGAGAAATTCCCCAAAATAGCACTTAAACAAGTTTTATGGACAATAATAGCACACACTCCATAAACTTCCAAAAATAGCACTAGTTGACTTACTACTAAGTTTTTGTTCTAAAAGTATTATCACTAGTTTATTTTTTCAATATAACTATAATTTTTATATAAAAACTATTCAACCAAAATAAATTATAAATAAATTTGAAATATTATATTCGGGTTCTCTATTTCCAATTTAGGGTATATATTTCTACCATTTAAAAGAGATTTTGATTCATTTTAATATTAGTTTATGGTATTATATTTTAGTTCCCTATTTCCAATCTAGGGTATATATTTCCACCATTTAAAAGAGATTTTTCATTTTAATATTAGGTTATGGTGTTATATTTGGGTTCCCTATTTCCAATCTAGGTTATATATTTGCACTATTTAAAAGAAATTTTGATTCAATTTAATATTAGGTTAGTGTTTGCTTTCATTTTTATTTTCTATCTTATATTTTAGTTAAGTTTAATTGAAGTTTATGGTGCTATTTGTGGAATTTTAGAAATGTTGTGCTAATTTTAGAAGAAAAACTTTTTTTGGTGCTATTTTTGTCAATTGCCCAAAAAAAAATATTTTATTGTATTTAATGTTCCGTTCTTTGCTAAATCTCATTCTTGGGCCGACTGCGTCTTTGGCCCAACTTTTGATAAATTTTAAATTGAATTGGTGGACTTTTAATGAGGTTAGTGGGGCGAATTTCATGTGAGAATCGAGATCCAACATTTATGCTGAAACTAAAAACCGAACCAAAACTTCTAACTGAAACCACGTCGAGGTTTGATCATTTCGATTATTACGATAGGCTCAAGTACTATAAAATACATTTGGTTTATAGCTCATGTCATGATGTCAAATAATTGAAATCAGAATTCAAAATTGACATAAAAATTAGAAAAGATTGCAATATTCTTTTTTTTATTTTGCAACCCATTATTTTATTAAATTATATTTGGTGATTGTATATATATAGATAATAAAGAAATATCAATTTCCACAATTAAAACTGCATAGGCAGGTCTGGTCTAATGGTTCGAATCCAGGTGGTTCACACGATCCTTTAACTCCTACTCCTTTCCACTTGGTAGAACACTCTTGGTTACACTGATTAATTTCACAGTGTTCTGCTTGAATATAGTCATGACATGTTTTGCCTTGCGTCTCCTCCATCACCATTCCTAATAATACATTTTAAAACATATACTAATATCATTTTAATTATTTTTTGTTACAAAAATAAAAAGTTGATGAACAGAAAACCAACAAAAAAAAGAGAGAGAAACACAGAATATTTAATATATTTTGTGTAGAGCATACCAATAACTAAGAGAACCATGAAAATTGTGAGAGCAGTGTTTTTAGTCATCTTTGATGATACAATTAAAACAAAAATGATGGATGTAATTGTATTGTGAATGATGTGTATATATATATGATAAGTTGGATGCATGCATCTATATTTACAAAACTATCATGAATTATAAAAAATATAAAGTAATCAGTTAGTAATTAATTAGATGCTTGAATTAGTGTTAACCCAAAAAAAAGAGCAAAGAAATCTGTTAGTAATTAATTAGATGCTTGAATCGGAAAAAACCATCAAAAGACATATCTAGAAATTAATTAAAAGTGAAAACATATAAGCAGGTTATAAATCATAATAGATGCTGACTTTAATTAAACTATGTCATAAATGAATAAAAATATGATAAACTCAACAAATATTAAATAGATGCTGTTAAAAACATATATATATATAATATGAAATATATTTAATTATTATTTTTATATGATAACTAATATTGAAGGTTTGCTTAATCATGTTTAAGTAATTTATTAGTTTAAATGTAGGGCATTTGCAAAAAATACCTTTTTTCCTAAGCCTTTTTCGAAAATACATCTTCCTATTGTCCATTTTTATTTTATATACACAATGACTAAATTACTATTTTTAAAGTGAGAGCAGATAATGAGCCAAAATTTATTTTTCCCGCTAAAACATTTCCGTAGAGGTCAAAATCTTCCCGCTATAAAAATTTCCGCCAAAATTTACCAGCCCCAAATTTTCTTGCCAAAATTTGAATTTAGAAAGCTTTAAAAAAATATTTAAAAATATTTTCTTGTAAATTTTTTAAAACCCTTATAAAACTCTTTAAAAACCCTTGTATAAATTCTTTAAAATCTTTGTAAATCTTTTTAAAATTCTTATAAAGTTCTTATAAAAAACCCCTGTAAATCCTTTTATACCTCTGTAAAATCTTTTAAAACACTTGTAATTTTTTTTTAAAACACTTATAAATCTTTTGAAACCCTTTAAAAACCTTTGTAAATTTTTAAAAACCCTTGTAAATTCTTCAAAACGCTTTCAAAACACTTGTAAACCCTTAAAAATCTTTTAAAGAGCTTTGAAATTTTAAAAAAACATTTTTAAATCCTTTTAAAACCCTTGTCCCCCAAAAATTTATGGGATCACGTTTCCCGCCAAAAACTACGGGATCATTTTATTTTTGGCAGGAAATTCACTTAAAAAGAGGGTAAAATGGCAAGAAAATGGGGCATTTTTGAAAAAAAGGTATCAAAGAAACGGTATTTCTAACAATTTTTCAGAATAAATTAGTAATTAATTGGAAGCTTAAATCGGAAAAAACTATGAAAAAAAATTGAAAACATATCCATAAATTAAATAAAAGTGAAAACGAATAAGACTGTTATAAATCATAATTGATACTACATCATAAATGAATAAAAATTTGATAAAGTCAACAAATATTAAATAGATGCTAGAAACAAAACCTAAATATATAAAACATGAAATATAATATTTAATAATCTAATTTAAAACTTTAAAATGATAATTCATATTGATGGTTTGCTTAATCATGGTTCTTGCCTAACACAAGAGAAGATTTACACTTGATGGAGTACCAAAAGAATCGTAGACAATAGATGGACATTAATTCTACATCAAATTCAAGCTTAGAAGGAGCATATAAAAAGTAGGCGCTTCCTTAATTCCTCCTCAACATTACATATAGAAGGCAAGTTTGTTCTACAACGAAACTCCACCAAGAAATCCTATCAAAGGTTGGGTTGCGGTTAAGAACTATTAGAATCATATAGTTAGTCTCATGTTGATAATACTTGTAGATAATAGCTTCTGGTTTAACCACCTAATTAATCATCTAATTAAGGTGATTTCATTGGTTTAATTCTGGTTTAGTTAGTTTGTTTTACTATACATTGTTGTAACAATTAACCTTTCTTGATCATTAATGAGAATCAGAGATTTCACCATGTTTCTCTCTCGATCTATGGTTACTAATATGGTATCAGAGCATTTTTTGCTTGCGTTTCTCTGAATTTCTTCGATTTCTCATCGATTTCTCATTGTTTTTCTTCATCTTCTTCGTTTTTCACAGGCGGATTGTTGCATCGATTTCGGATCTGTGTCAAATTTGAGCTTGAACGGAGCAGAATCACCTTCTGAGCTTCCGATTTAGCTTCTTATCGCACATTTGAGCTTCGATTCACTCGTCATGGGGAAACAAAAGAAGAAAACACCAAATCGGAGCAAATCTCCGGTCTCGGAGTACTCTCCGATGAAGACTCGAGCTGGATCTTCGTATCCAGTTGCCGATGACATCGTTGATGCTCCTTCTCTTACTTACGCGGCTGCGCGAGGCAAGATTCAATCGATTTCCGCAGAGATTGAATCGTTTGATAATGCGCATAGTCCGTTCTTCCTTCACTCTTCCGATCATCCAGGTCTGTCTATTGTCTCACACATTCTTGATGGAACGAATTACAATAACTGGTCAATTGCTATGAAGATGAGTTTGGATGCAAAGAATAAGCTGAGTTTTGTTGATGGATCTCTTCCGCGACCTGAAATTGATAATCGTATGTTCAAGATATGGAGTAGGTGTAATAGCATGGTTAAAGCATGGATGTTGAATGTAGTGAATAAGGAAATATATGATAGTATTCTATACTATGAGGATGCTGCTGAGATGTGGAATGATCTTTTTCTGAGGTTTCGTGTTAGTAATCTTCCACGCAAGTATCAGTTAGAGCAATCTATTCATACCTTGAAGCAAGGTAACTTGGATTTGTCAACCTATTACACCAAGAAGAAAACACTCTGGGAACAATTGGCTAATACTAGAGTTATTTCGGTGAAGAAATGTAACTGTGATCATGTTAAAGAATTGATTGAAGAAGCTGAAACTAGCAAGATCATACAGTTCCTTATGGGCTTAAATGATAGTTTTGCTCATCAGAGGACAGATTCTGAATATGAAGCCAAGACCATGTTTGACTGAGATATACAACATGCTTGACCAAGATGAGAGTCAGCGGATTGTAGGAGGTTCTCATACTTCTATTCTCTCCAGTCCAGCTTCAGCATTTCAGGTTCAAGTGTCACAAACATCTGACCAGTCTCATGTCAACTTGACTCAAGGTTCATATCAGAAGCCTAAATGTTCCTACTGTCACAAGCTTGGTCATACTGCTGACAAATGTTACAAACAGCATGGATACCCTCCTGGAGCTAAGTGGAAGAAGGCTCAGACTATTGGGACTACAAATCTTGCTGCTGTGACACAACTCCCACCAGTGGTTGATCAATCTAGTGAAAAGATAGATTATGAAGAGTTGTCAAATGATCAGATACAGACTGTGATCTCTTATCTTAGCAACAAGCTTCATACTACATCAGTGGAACCTATACAGACTCAGTCTTGTGCCTCGACTTCAACTTCTATACCTGTGATCTCCCAGATTTCAGGTACCTTTCTGGCTTTATATTCTAATTCTTACTATGACATGCTAATTTCTTCTATCTCTAAAGAACCGGCTGTGTCTCCTAGAGCTTGGGTAATAGATTCAGGGGCTACTCACCATGTTACACACAATAGAAGCCTTTATATAGATTTTAGAGCCTTAGACAATACCTTCGTAAGACTCCATAATGATTGTACTGTTAGAATAGTGGGCATAGGATACATTAAGCTATCTGATGCAATCTCTCTCCACAATGTGCTTTATATTCCTGAGTTTAAATTTAACTTGATCAGTGTTAGTGTTTTAACAAAGACTTTAAAGTCAAAAGTTAGCTTTACATCTGATGAATGTTTTGTTCAGGAACTTACACAGGAGTTAATGATTGGAAAAGGTTGTCAAGTTGGCAATCTATATGTCTTGGATTTCAATGAGTCTAATCATTCTGTTTCTTTAAAAGGTACCAATACTATATGCTCTGAAAATCCTATTTGTTCTGTTGTTGTTGATTCCTATACATGGCATAAGAGATTAGGTCATCCTGCTCATTCAAAAGTTGATTTGTTATCTGATGTTTTGAATCTCAAAGATATAAAGATAAATAAAGATTCTTTACCTGTGTGTCATGTTTGTCACTTGTCAAAACAGAAACATTTATCTTTTAAATCTAGACAAAACATGTGTAAATCTGCATTTGATTTAGTTCATATAGATACTTGGGGTCCATTTTCTGTTCCTACTATAGATGGTTTCAAATACTTCTTAACAATTGTTGATGACTATAGTAGAGCTACTTGGGTCTATTTGCTAAAGAATAAATCAGATGTTTTGCATGTTTTTCCTAGTTTTATTAATATGATTCAAACGCAATTTCAGAAGAAAGTTAAATCGGTTAGATCTGATAATGCACATGAATTAAAATTCAATGATTTGTTTGCTGAAAATGGAATTATTGCTTATCATTCATGTCCTGAAACTCTAGAACAAAATTCTGTGGTAGAGAGAAAGCATCAACATATCTTAAATGTTGCTAGAGCCCTCTTATTTCAATCCAATATTCCATTAGAATTCTGGGGTGATAGCATATTAACAGCTGTGTTCTTAATAAATAGACTACCCACACCTGTTTTGGAAAATAAATCTCCTTATGAAAAGCTTACCAATACGGCTCCTACTTATGACTCTTTAAAGACTTTTGGGTGTTTATGTTATAGTTCAACATCCCCTAAGCATAGAAATAAGTTTGAACCTAGGGCTAGAGCTTGTGTTTTCTTAGGATATCCCACAGGTTATAAAGGGTATAAGCTATTAGACATAGAGACACATGCCGTTTCTATTTCAAGACATGTCATTTTTCATGAGGAGATTTTTCCTTTCTTATCATCTACCATCACTGATGATATGAAAGCTTTCTTTCCTCTATTACAGTTTCCTGCCCAAACCGATGATTTGCCTCTTGTGCAAACATCAATTCCTGATGCACATCCCCATCAAGATGTGTCATCTTCTAAGGCTTTGATTCCTTCTGAGTCAATGTCTACTAAACAAAAGAAACCCCCAAAACACTTGCAGGATTTTCTTTGTTATAATAATACTACTAGTATTAATCCTAATATACTCTATCCAATCACAAATTATGTTTCT